ATGTGGAAGGGGGAAATGTCACAGCGTCCCACCTCAAGATGAAGAATTCCATATATATATATATGAAAATATACAGGGAACTAACCCTTCCACAAGGGAGTCAGATGTATAAACAATAAATAACAGATGTAGGACAAGAGTTAATAATGAAACTTTGTAGTTACTGCAGAGGCAGCTCAAAGGAAATTATTAACTTGGTAGGGGTGGAAGCTACTGTGCACAGTGAATGGAACAAAACGGTGGAGCAGAGGCTTTGGGTATAGCCAAGTGCTTGCTTAGCATGCACAGGGTGTGGTGGCCCTTGGAGGCGGGAGGATCAGGAGCTCAAGGTCATCTTCAGCCCAGTTTAAGGCCAGCCTGGGCCACAGACCCTGTTTCAAAAATAAATAGGGGCTGGAGAGATGGCTCAGTGGTTAGAACTGGCTGATCTTTCAGAGAACCCAGGTTTGGTTCCATTTCCAGCACCCACATGGCAGCTGACACCCTCCTTAACCCCAGTTCCAGAGGATCTAATGCCTTCTGGCCTCTGCAAGGCACTGCACACATGGATGCACTTATATGCATCCAAAGCAATGATACACATAAAAAATAAATAAAAAAGTGTTAAATGTTGATAAACAAAGTGAAGCCAGGCATGGTGGTGCATGTCTTTAGTCCCAGCACTCGGGAGGCAGAGGTAAGTGAATCTCTGTGAGTTTGAGTCCAGTCTGGTCTAAGTAGCGAGTTCTAGGCCAGTTCGGGTTAGAGGGAGACCTTGTCTCAAAAAGACCAAAATAAATAAATAGTAAAAAAAATAATAAAGCATTACAATAAGGCTTAGAAAGCAAACAGGTGAACAGAATGGAAAGTACTCAGGACATTGGAATTGGCACACGCCTTTAATCCCAGCACTCCTTGAGTTCAAGGCCAGCCTGGTCTACACAGTGAGCTCTAGGACAGCTGGGGCTATAGGGAGACCCTGTCTCAGAAAGATCAAAAAAAAAAAAAAAAAAAAAAAAGAAAGTTGCAGGCAGTTGTGAGAGGCCAGGTGGGTGACAGGAACAGAGCCTAGGTTCTCTGGAAGACAAGCAAGTGTTCTTAACTGCCAAGCCACCTCTCCAGCCCTAAAAACATTCTTGAAAGTCCTATTTTACAAATAATTGTTTGTGTTGTCTGAGACAACAAAACTAGAAGCTAACTGTGGAACTGACCAGGAGGCAGAATTCAGCCAGGCCTAACTTCCAGTCATTCAAAGGATGAACAATGGAGTGTTCTAATTTACTAATCTGCCCAATCTGCCCTTAAACTCATTCTGTAGGTGAGGCAGGCTTTGAACTTGTGATCCTCCTGCTTCAGTCTCCCAAGTAGCTAGGATTATAGCACCAGGCCTGGCAGCAAATGTTAAAGGAGCCAAAATGATCACTTTCACCTTAATTTGGTGACATTAAAGACACAGATGATTGATCACACTATGTTGATACAAACCCTATGGAAAAAAAAAAAGGTTTCGTTCATGACCATTTCCTCAACTTGTCAGATTTTCAACCTAGCCTCCTTTATGGTTGTAAATTCTATCAAGAGTCAAACTAAGACATCAAAATTTGATCACCGCTACCCAACAACCCAGTACTCTCTTATCTGAGACCCTCCTGTATCCCAAACAACCTTTCTATTTTGGGTTGTTAGTCTTAAGAATTATCCCACCCAGAATGTTCTGCAGCTCATAAAATCCTTATCTGAGCTGGGTGTGGTGGCGCACGCCTGTAGTCCCAGCACTTGGGAGGCAGAGGCAGGCGGCCCTCTGTGAGTTCAAGGCCAGCCTGGTCTACTTAGTGAGTTCCAGGACAGCTGGGGCTACAGGGAGACCCTGTCTAAAAAAAGACCAAAAAAAAAAAAAAAAAATCCCTATTTGTGTATGAAGGTTGGAGTGGTTGTATACATTTTTACATAGTTTGCAGGTCTGTAGCAATGTCTAATGGAGTTTGAGAGCTGTGAATCACAAGAAAACCTCACACTAACAGAAATGGTTCTCAAAAATAATTTTTAAATGTTTGAGTGTATTGCCTGCATATAAGTACACCCATGTCGTGCAATGCCCGTGGAGGACAGAAGGTATTGGATCCCCTGGAACTGGAGTTTTGGATGGTTGTTAGCTGCCATGTGGGTGCTGGGATTCAAATCCAGGTCTTCTGCAAGAACAAACAGTGCTCTTAACCGCTGAGCTATCTCTCTAGCTCCCGAATACCAAAATTTTTGAGGAGGAAGCATAAAAGTTTACGTAATGTTAATTAGTAGAGGTGATGAACTTTACCATTGAAATCTACCCAATGACTTTGTAGACATACACAGGCACCAAGGATCCGAATGCAAACGTTTATGACTAGTAATGATCAGATACATACAGATGAGAGACGCATGCACCAACATCTGTGTTAGTGGCAAAAAACGAGTCTTTCTGTAGGAAACAGTATATTTTGAAATGAAATGGAGATCTTTTTTGAGGGTTAAAAACTCATTCAATTTTGTGTCTTGCAGGACTTATGCTGAGTTCAATATTGTATAACTGTACTGATTCAACAGTGAACCTAGAAATTTTATAGCCACTTTTGGGGGAGCTGTGTCTTTGCTCTGGAAACTGTTATTGGGCATGTTAAAGCTGTAACAACATGCTTCTTCTTAAAAAATAAAATATAGTATTAAAAAATGTAGGGAAAAAAATTTTAAGCTTTAGTTTTGGATTCCATTTACAGCTGGTATATTGTTTTAACTGACAGATTCCACCCCCATACAAAAACACAAGCCATCTCCCCTTCTGAAAAATGATTTTGTTTAATAGTGCACTTCATTTATACTACAGGATGAGCAGGGTTGGGAGAACACAACGGAAAGCCTTGAGTTGGGAACACTCAGGGAATACCACCCTAACCCACCAGGGAGCTCTGCTGCCAGATTTGAGCCTCAACCCTCCTCCTCTAGGCTTTGCTGTCTGTGTTAATCCTCGGATGCTGAAGTCAGAGGTGGAATCAGAGGTCCAGCTGCTGGGGGCAGATGTTAAAGGTGATAAAGCAGGAGAAGCTGGCTGGGTGAGCTCCCTGAGAGTATCCTTAGTAACTAAAGGTTGAGACTAAATTACTTTTCATCACAGGAATGGGAAGAGGAAGAGAGGACAAGAATCAGAGGCCAGTCCTAGAGGCTTCTGATTTGCTACCTCAGGTTATTTACTGCTGTGAGGGGACTCCCAGTCAGTCCTGTTACAAGGGAGGATGTGGGTCTGCCTCCAGTATCGCCAGACTGCTCTTGCAAACAGGGTAGCACTGTTCCAAGAGCCCTAAAGGATAGTCATTACAGAAAACCTTGTTGGGGTCCCCCTACCAGTAAAATAAATCCCTCAGCACCAAGTTTCCTTAATTCATGAAATCATGAATCAAAACAGCCCTTGTTCAGTCTTTCTTTGTGGGCAGGGTCTCACTATGTAGCCCTGGCTAGCTTGGAACTCACTATGTAGACCAGGCTGGCCAGAACTCACAGAGGTTTGGCTGCCTCTACCTTCAGAGTGCTGGGATTAAGGGCATGGGCCACCATGCCTGGTCCTTTGTCCAGTCCTAAAGCTGGGTTGAGGGCAGTGGCGCTGAACTACAGCCTCTATTTTCCTTCTCAACACTAAGAGGACCAGAAGACCCTTTCCACTGCACTGCCTTCTGTGCTCACCATACTGACTCCAGCTAGTGGAATTCTTGGAGTTCTTGTTCCTACTTTGCTTCCATCCCACCTTGGAAAGAAAGGCTCCTCTGGTGTCAGAAAAATGGTTTAGTGCAAAACCCCTTCCAGAACGGGTGACTGGTCACCAAGCTTCCTTCTGTTCCCAGTGCCTCATCTACTACTTGCCTCACAATCTTCAACATTGGTGTCATTCCTGGGAAATCCACCAGATTGCTGATCACTGCTAGAATGATTTTCCCAATCTGCCAAACTCTCTAGAGTGAAGGTTTGAGGTGGGACACATCCTAGATTGTTCCTACTTATAAAATAAGGCAAGAGCTCTTTGGACTTGGGAAGTGACAATGGTGTGACTCTCATGTAGATTCTCTGTTTAATTCAGCAGAAACTCTGAGAGAGCCCTTGTTCACACCCATTACATTCAAAGGCTTCTCTCCAGTGTGAATCCTCTGATGGCGAACAAGAGCTGAGCTATACCTGAAGGCTTTCCCACACTCACTACATTCATAGGGATTCTCCCCTGTGTGGATTCTTTGATGCTGAATAAGGCCTGAACTGTAGGTAAACTTTCCTCCACATTCCATACATTCGTATGGCTTCTCTCCAGTGTGGATTCTCTGGTGTTGATAGAGGTGTGAGCTCTGGCTGAAGGCTTTCCCACACTCGTTACATTCATAAGGTTTTTCTCCAGTGTGGATTCTCTGATGATGAATTAGGGTGGAACTTCTACTGAAGGCCTTCCCACATTCATTGCAAGCATAAGGTTTCTCGCCAGTGTGGATTCTCTGATGGTGAGTAAGGGTGGAACTCCAGCTGAAGGTTTTTCCACATTCGTTACATTCGTAAGGTTTCTCGCCAGTGTGGATCCTCCGGTGTAGAATGAGAGCAGAACTACAACTGAAGGTCTTCCCACAATCATTACATTCATAAGGTTTCTCACCAGTGTGGATTCTCTGGTGTTGAATAAGATGTGAGCTCTGGCTGAAGGCTTTTCCACATTCACTACATTCATATGGTTTTTCCCCAGTGTGGATTCTCTGATGTTGAATAAGGTCTGAAGTTCGATTAAAACTCTTGCTACATTCATCACACTTATGGGGTCTGTCTCCCACGGGAAGCCTCTGATGGGAAATAAGGTTGGAATTCATAGTGAAGCTGTTCCCAAACTCATTATATTTCTCATTTCTTTCTCCCATGTGGGCAAATTTCTCAACCGTCACTTGGCCAAAATCTTTTATTTTCCTATTCAGTCTTTCTCCAGAGGAGTTCCCTAACTGCCTCTTCAGGCTGACTTCCTGTTCATAGGCTTCTTCTAACTTAAGACCCTGAGAAATACCCTTTGAGAATCGTCCCAATATCTTCTTACATGATCCTGTATCTTCAGAAATTACTTGATCATTTTCAGTTTTAGATTCACCATCTGGCACAATAAAAAATAAGAATGTCACATGTTATTTGCGGGAAAAAGAATAAAAGTCAGGGGCTGAAGAGATGGCTCAGAGGTTAAGAATGTTTGCTGCTCTTCCAGAGGTCTTGAGTTTGGTTCCCAACACTCACATCAGGCAGGTCACAACTGCCTATATCTACAGCTCCAGGGGATCCACAACTTCTGGCCTCCGCTGGCATCTGCAAACACGTGGCATATATTCACACAAAAACACACATACACATAAATAAAAATAAATCTGAAAAAAAGAAAAAAAACCAGAGGACAAAATAATCACAGACATTTGTAGTACTAAAAGCACAAGCCCCTTACAGACCTGAAAAGTGGCCTTAAATGTACAACTACAGCAACACATGGGCTAGGGAAACAGGGAGGAAACAAGGCAGAAAGCAAAGTCAAGGAGAGAGTTGAGGATGCACTGGGGGTCGGGAGGGAAGACGGACCTGATAAGCTGGGAACAAAAACTAGATAAGGAAGTATGTGTTGCTTAATAAAGTGGTAAAGTCTTCAGAGGTCAGAGGCTGTAGACGTAACTAGGAGAAGGGTGATGGGTATTGCAAAATGTTAAGAATGACAAAGGTTGCCAGGCATGGTGGTGCATGTCTTTAATCCCAGCACTCAGGAGGCAGAAGCAGGCGGATCTCTGTGAGTTCGAGGCCAGCCTGGTCTACATAGTGAGTTCCAGGACAGCTGGGGCTACAGGGAGACCCTGTCCCAAAAAGACAAAAAAAAAAAAAAAAAAAAGAATGACAAAGGGACATGTCTGTAATTCCAGCTTGTAAGAGGCTGAAGCAGGATGATCCTGAGTTTGAGGCCAGCCTGGGCTACCACAGCAAGACCCTGCATCACAAAAACAAAAACAGCCGGGCATGGTGGTGCATCTCTTTAATCTCAGCACTTGGGAGGCAGAGGCAGGTGGATCTCTGTGAGATCAAGGTCAGCCTGGTCATTTAGTGAGTTCCTCCAGGCCAGCTGCGACCACAGGGAGACCCTGTCTCAAAAAGACACAAAGAAAAGCAGAAACAAAACAAAACCCCCCAAAACCAAAAACAATGAAGTATGTGGGTGGGGCAAGTATAAGAAACTTAACAGACTGCTGAGGAGAAAGATGGGAAAGAGGAAAAACAGCAGAGCGAGCATCAGCAGAGGATGGCCACTAGGGACCAGCAGGTGAGGACAGTCCTGTCCCACCACCTATGCCACAGGCAAAATAGTTTAGTCCAGCTCTGAGCCCTAAGCCTAGAAGGCTGTGCTATGCTGAGGCTGTGTAAATAAACCTCTGGGTCTGGCTTCTTGATTTTCACTATTTACAGAGTTCTAAAGGAAATTCCAGGCCTAGAGGGTGATTGTAGAGGGTACAGAGAGCATTCTCAGCTTATCAAATTTTTCACAGTAGACAGGACAGTAACTGAGTAGGTAGCTCTCAGGACTTTTCTCTTCTCAGAACCCTCAGCACTTCTTACCCCAGCAAAGAAATCATATCAGTATTCAGAAATAGGAACCCTGTTCATGAGGAAAGACACAGCCATATTGAGTGTCCCAGAATACAGCTAGACCCCAGGTCTGCAGGAGATAGAAAGGAAAGGTATGGGGCCACCTCAACTGGCAGTTAGGAAGATGCCTTGGCACTGTTTAGGAAAATGTTCTCACTGAAAGTGTGGTAAGAGATGAGAAATTAGTCCTAAAGGCTAAGAGGGTAATTTCTCTTTAAAACAATGTATTTCTTTTTAAAGATTTACTTTACATGCAGGTGTATACGTACACACGTGTGTACAGATATCTGGGGAGGCCAGAAGAGGGCGCCAGGTCCCCCGGAGTTTGGGTTACAGGTGGTTGTGAGCCACTCAACATGGGTTTTGTTAACTAAACCCTGGTCCTCAGGAAAAGCAGCAAGGGCTCTTAACTGCTGAGCCCTCTCCAGCCCTCAAACAGTCCACTTCTATTTAAGGGGTACATGAGATCCCAAATGAAGCAAGAGGTTCTAGGGGTAATTCAACAGAAAGAGGAGAACAGAGAGCCCCAGAATGTTCCCTTAGACACAGAGCAGCACCTCACGCATACAGGAACCCCAACACACTAATCCAGAAGTCTCTTGAGAAGCCCTGAGAATACAAGGACAAAATACCAGATTTGGTGTTAAAAAGGTGGGGTTCAGCTGGGCATGGTGGCGCATGCCATTAATCCCAGGACTAGAAAGGCTGAGGTGGAAGGGTTATAGAGAATATAAGGCCAACCTGGACTACAGTGTGAAACCCTGTCTCAAAAAATATAAACAAGCTGGGCGTGGTAGTGCATGCCTGTAGTCCCAGCACTCAAAACAAAACCCAAACAACAACAACAACAACAACAAAAAGCCCATAAATAACAAGAAAAAATTTGGAGCTCAAGCTTTGCCACTAACCAGCTCTATGACTAGGCACAAGGCATTTGAGATTTTTTTTTTCTTTTTGGTCTTTTTGAGACAGGGTCTCCCTGTAGCCCCAACTGGCTTGGAACTCACTATGTAGACCAGGCTGGCCTTTAACTCACAGAGATCTGCCTGTCTCTGCCTCCCAAGTGCTGGGATTAAAGGTGTGCACCACCAGGCTGGGCTGCATTTGAGATTTTTTTTTTAAAGATTAATTTTATTTATTTCCTGCACATATGTATGTGCACCAGTGTGTGTGCCTGGTGCCCATGGAGGCCAGAAGAAGACATGAGATCCCTGGAACCAGAATTACAGATAGTTGTGACCTAACCTGTGGGTGCTGTGAGCTGTACTTGGGTCCTCTGCAAGAGCAGCAAGTGCTCCTAACCACTGAGCCATCTCTTCAGCCCCACTTCCCTTTTTTGAGGCAGGTTTTCATATAGCCCAGGCTGACCTCAAACTCATTATGTGGCCAACATTGAACTGTAGATCTTCCTGCCTCTGCTTCCTAAGTGCTGGAATTATAGGCATGCGCACCATGCCCAGCTGGCATTTGAGATTTCTGACCTCACTTTAAACGCTTATAAAATGAGGATAATATTAACTACTTAACTATGGAATTACTGTGAGGATTAAATGAGCAGATACATGAAACCTCTTTACAAACTGAAAAGTATTCTATAAATGTGAGTGATTAATTTTGTTTTTAATTTTTAAAATTTATTTTTATTTTATGTGTATGAGTGTTTTGCCTGCATGTCAAGTGTACCCATGTATGAAATACCCAAGGAGGCCAGAAGAGGATGTCACATCCCCTGGAACTGGAGTTACAAATGGTTGTTAGCTGTCATGTGGGTCCTCTGCAAGAGCAGCCAGTGCTCTTAAATGCTCTGAGCATCTCTCCAGCCCCAATGAGTGATAATTATTATGGCTGTTAGAGGTTTCTGAAACTGAGTCAATGGCTAGCCGCTGACCTCAGGGACTAGACTACACACTAGCAAACACAGAAGTCAAGTTTTGTTGAGAAGACACAAGTCCTTACCCAGAGAGAACACATTTCCGTAATTCTCCAGCATCACATCCCTGTACAGGTCCCTCTGCGCAGGCTCCAAACGCTTCCACTCTTTTCGAATAAAGTACACAGCTACATCCTCAAAAGTCACCAACTCCTGAAACAACATGGCCGAGCATGCAATTTCAGAATGAGGGTTGGGACTGGCAGCACCAAACAGCAACCAGGACGGGGGTGAGTAATGTATCTTTGAAAAGCAGGGAGAGGAGGTCAGAGCAATGACAGCATGAGGGTCCACAATGGGGTGCCTCATTGATGGCACAGTGGTGAGTACAGCTGCCTTCCAAGCATCCACAATGGAAGTAAATTTTGTTTGTACATTTATTTATTGGGGGGGGAGGGAGGACAGGGCAACAGTACATGTGTGGAGGTTAACTTTTGGGAGTTGTTTCTCTCCTCCCACTTGTGAGTCCCAGGGATTGAACTCAGGTCGTTACGGTTGGCAGTAAATACTTTTAACCACTGAGTCATCTCATTGGCCCTATAATCATAGTGTGGATGGACAGAATTGGGGTTTAAGGTGCTGAGTGGGCTGTCACTCCATAGAAACCATCCACAAAATGGGAAGGAAAAGAATGAAGGGAGCCATGGCTTACCTGGGACTTGGCCTTTAGGAGTGCAGCAGCCAACACCTCATCCCCCAGGCTGTCCTTGTCAGGGAAGGAAGGGACTTTTGAAGAAGGGAGACCTGAAGGACAGTACCAGGGCCAGGAGTCAGTCTATCTGCTTCAGACCCAAGAACACATCTCTCACCAAAACCACCCCGTCTCTGCTTTCATGACTACTTGTTTTTATTCTTGGCAGTGCTAGGGATTGAACCCATAACTTTGTGCACGCTAAACAAAGAGCTCTATCAGCAGCCCCACAACGATTCATGAGCATTGTCCAAGCTGGGCCACAAGCAGGGTATGTTCTCATTACTCCTGCATCATTTAACTCCTGTGGGAAATTCTTTCGTTTTTAAAAAATTTTTTGGCTTATTTTTGTTTGTTTGATGTGCATGGGTGTTTTGCCTGCATGTGTGTAAATGCACTTGTGTAATACCCATGGAGGTCAGAAGAAGGTGTCAGATCCCCTAGAATTGGAGTTTCAGACAGTTGTTAGCTGCCATGTGGCTGCTAGGAACTGAACCTGGATCCTTTATAAGTGCAGCCAGTGCTCTTAACCTCGGAGCTATCTCTCCAGCTGCCTGTGGAAAATTCTTAAGCAGAGAATGAGCAGTTTCCCTCAAGCCCTGACAGAAGACACAACGCCCACAGCCCCTCTCCTTTTCTTCACCCCTAGACCAAATCTATATGCTACAAATGTTTCCTAGCTCTGCATTTGACCACATAACTTTCCCTATGAGCCCTGAATTTAGATGTTTGTCTCTTAGGGGCTACCCCACAATACATAACTAGATCTGACAAAGAAAAAGGAAGGGAGCTAGACGCATTTTCCTAGTAAACATGGCAACAATATTCCCTGTTGGAACAAGGGGCTGGGGATGGAGCTCAATGGTAAGTGCTTACTTTCCATATGTATGGCCCTGGGTTTCATACCCAGTACCATGGAAGGCATGTCTTCTACACAACCCTCTAAGAATTTTGGTTTTTGTGTGTGCACACACGTGTGTTATCTGTGTATGTCTGAGTGTGGGCGTGTGTATGCGATGATGTAGCATGTGGAGGTCTGAGGACAACATCAAGTATGGCTGGCTATGTAATCTGGTCTACATAGCAAGTTCCAAGCCAGGTGGGGCTACAGGGAGACCTTGTTTCAAAAAGCCAAATAAAAAAGGGGGGGCTGGAAAGATGATTCAGCAGTTAAGAGCACTGGTTTCTCTTGCAGAAGAATCAGGTTCAAATCCCAGCACCCACTTGGCAGCTAATAACCATCTATAACTCCATTTCCAGGGGATCCAACTCCCTCTTCTGGCCTCCTTGGGCACTGAATGACACGGGTGCATTTATATACATGCAGACAATACACTTGCACATAAAATAAATAAATTTTTAAAAAGTTGTAATTAGGAGTTGGAGAGATGGCTCAATAGTTAAAGAGCACTGGCTACTCTTGCAGGGAACTCAGGTTGGGTTCAAATCCCAGCACCCACATGGCACCTAAGAACCATCTTTAACTACAGTTCTAAGGGATCCAACACCCTCTTCTGGCCTCTATGGGTACTGCAAGACACAGGTGCACTTACATACAGGCAAAACACTCATACATAAAAAAATATTGTAATTAAACCCATTATTTAAAGGTGCTTACTGCCAAGCCTGACAACATGAGTTCGATCCCAGGGCCCATATGGTAGAGGGAGAGAACCAATATATGAAGCTCTCCTCTGACCTTTATAAGGAGTGCTGTGGCACATGTATGTCTAAAGACACACACATATGCACAGGCACACACACAATAAATATTTATTTTGGGTTCTTTTTTTTTTTGAGACAATCTCCCTGTGGCCTCAGCCTGCCTCTGCCTCCTCACTGCTGTATTGAAAGGAGTGAGCCAACAAGCCCAGCAGAATAAGAGTTCAATAAAATTTATTTTGGGCCAGCAAGATGGCTCAGCAGATAAAAAAGCACTTGCTGTGTAAGCTTGGCAACCTGAATTCAATCTC